GGCATATGGAGGCGGCCAGAGCGACAGGCAATGCCATCGATTAACCTGCCTTCTGCAGGCTCCCACTGACTTTCTTAACTAGCACTTACTGAGCACCTTCTGTATTTCAAGCATTCATTTATTTAGGCACTCACTTCCATTTAATACTCCAAACAACCCTGGAAAGTAGGTGTTCTGATCTTTTGTTTGAAGAGACCGAGACTGGGAGAAGTCAAGTAGCTTGCCCAAGATCACACAGCAGTTTTTTTCAGAGCTAGCAATTCTAGTTCAGGACCGGCTGACCTCAATGCTGCTTATACATTTTTAAGTTCTATACACGTGTGGTTGTTTCCAGGAAGGGACTAGAAAGGCAGATGTGAAGAGTGGTTAGGGTTAATTCTAATCCCTTGTCCACTTCCCTCCAAGGCACCACTGCCACAGCTTCCCTGCCAACTGTCCTAAAAAGAAATTGTTTTGGCCGTCCAGGTTTCCTCCATAAATTGGAGTAGCATCTGGTCTTCACAGAGAGCCAGGCATTCCAGGAGCCCATAACTGAGGTCCAGATGACTTCTGGTTTGAGCCACCAGCTGGCACCAGCTCCCCTGGGAGAGTATCTGTGGGCAAAGTCAGATCTACAGACCAGTTATTCATTTGCCCAAATCAGGAGATCCAGGAAAATGGTTCCGTCTAGAGGCCCCAGAGATGATCTGAATCACGACTCTGCACCCCTACTTTAGTTTCCTAAAGATGCTGTTTCCATCCGCGAGCCTGCCCCATCTCAAGCGCGTATGCTCGTGAACTCACCGGGAAGCCAAGGCAATGCGCCTTACCAGGTATCCACACTGGGGTGGCAGGGACACCTCTGTCTCTGTACACTCCACAATGCCTTTTCCAGACTCTCTAAATTTGAACCTCAATGAAAACAGAAAGTTCTTTCATAAGTTTGGCATCAAACGCATTTGACAGCAAAAATTGGACTTGACCCTATGCAATTTATTTATCCCCTGGTATGAATATGTGCATATGCGTTTTGCTGCAGAAATCAAAACTGATGGGTTTGACTATGAGGTGCTGCCACTGCAGGGCATTATGTAGCATGTGGTGTATGCCTCACGTATCTTTTCCAAAACATTCTCCAGTCTGGCCCCACTCGTTCCAGTTAAGGGGTACAGCCTTGTTGTTTTATAATGCACTGTATTCAAGCAGGACAGATCATCTCCTGACCAGGAAGCAGATGGCTTGCTTATAGTCATAAAGAAAGCCTTCCCAACCCTCTGCGGTCAGACTTGGTGCCTGGAATTCCATCACCAGGTGTTTCATTCTTGGCTGTCCTCTCTGAGAAGTGGATAAAACCAGAAGTCACTTACACTTTTATGTGGATTAGTCTTTTTAGAGCTTTCCTCTGTGGAAGAAACCAGCTTGAGGCAAGCGAGTCCTTGTAGAGGGCCACCAAGTGCTAAGGAGAGGGAGATGGGACAGGACTGAGGCCCCAGACAAAGCGCAGGCCCTGGGCAGGGCAGACATCCTGCAGGACAGGCAGGCAGCGCTGGGAGAGATCTGCACACCGCGTGGAGCCAGGCCAGGACACAGCCCGAGTTGCTCACCGCTCTCCATTTCTTGGTGCACGAAGGGCAGCCATCTAGTGGCCTTCAGATTAGATAAACCCTTTCCCTGGCAGGGGTCACTCAGGTTGGTGACAGGTCCGGACCAGGCGGAGGCCTTGCACCTGTACTTTGCAGTCCCCTCGTTCTGAGCAGGAACCGCAGGTGCCAAACCCGGGAGCGGCAAAGGTGCTGCCCGCGCGGAGGCGGCGCCACCCCGGGTAGGAGAGGCCCGGGGCATCTGAGGCTGTGTCGCTCCCATTTTTAGAGGCTCCTAGTTATTCACAGATGAAGAAATGCCAAACCAGGGTTACGTATATTTGGGTCAACTTAAAGGTGTGCGTGGACGGAGCGGTCCTTCCTCACTGGGCAGCGTCTCTGCTGCCTAGGGGCCGTTCAAGGGCCGGAGGATGCGAGGCGGGCGTGCCGGAGCGCCCCCTGGCGGGTGTGGCTGGTCGCGCTCCGCCGCAGACTCCGGGCTGCCGCGGGCGGCCGGGCGCTCACTCCGCCACCTGGCGGCGGCGGCGGGAACCGCAGGGGCGCGCGGACCCGGGGCGCCGCCGGCCCCAGCCCAGCGCTCCCTCCGAGGCAGCAAAGGGTTAAGCTGTCAGCGGCGCGATGTTAAACAGGTGTCAAAGGCGCCCCATATATCTGCAGATTGAAATCAAATTCTTTGCCGTATAAAAAGATAAATTACCCAGGCGCTGCCGCGCGTCCCACTCATCACGCCAGCGCCAGACGGCAAGCAATTTTTTTTTTTAATGTGCTAACGACCTAATCAAGCAATCAAGTCGGAGAAAATTGCAGAGTGACCGGGGCAGCCATCTGCCGGCGAGCCCCGCATTCATTTCCGCGGCCCCGCGCGGGGCGGGACCGGGAGGGAGCTGCCGGGGGAAGAGGGGGAAAAATCCTAAACAAATTAACACCCAATTTTCCCCGTCTAATTAGTTAAATGAGAAGTGTTTGGGGTCCCCCGGGGAGCGGGAGCGGCTGCGGCGCGGCGAGCGCGGCCTCCCCAGCATTAATTAGCGCGGGTCAATGCCGCGGCTCCCGGGAGAGCGGCCGCTTTAATTTCCCGTGATATTTCAGTGCCTGAGGCCCATCGATTCAAACTGAAATTAACTTATTTTTCAATCAGCCCAGGGCTGCCCCTGGGGGTGACTCTTCTTTTGCCGCCTCCTGAATAGAGCGGGAGCAATTTTTCATCAGAAGCTGAGGCCTCGGCCGCGGGGGAGGGGCGGGGGCGGGAGCCCCGCCTCCGCCTGCGCCCCCTTCCCGCGCGCCCCGCCTGGGCCTGGCGTGGAAGAAGCTCCGACCGCCGGGTCGGGGGCAGCCCAAGGTCATGCGGCCTGAGGCCTTGGAGGGCCGCGCCACCCTCTTCCCAGGAGGGGAAACTGAGGCCGGCAAAGTGCAAGGACGCGCCCAAGGTCACCGAGCCCAGCTGAGGGCAAGGGCCTTCTCTTCCGCGCCTCGGTTTTCGCCTCTGTCTGGAGGGCAGCGCGGGGAGGGCCCTGGCCAGTGGCAGCCTCTTTCCTTTCTATAGGTTTTAAGATTTCCGTAATAAAAGGGTGTTTTTAAAGGTCACAAGAGCCCCTGCTTTGTCCTTCGTGGGCCCCCAACAAAGACCCTTCCATGTGTGTGGGAGTCTGGGGTCCTGTCACCACTTCTCCCTGGCCTGCGTATGAGGACCCTGAGGCCATGCTGGCAAGACGAGGAAAACACGTGTTGGGGACTCCCACCCCTCAAACAGTGCCCTAGGGTGTGGGGAGCTGGAGTCTCCTGTAGTCTGGTGGGCTTCAGGTTGAGGTCACAGGGAGACCCAGAGCCTGCCACTTCCTTCCCACCAGTGCCCACCAGGAGCCCCAAGGCTGCCTGTTTTCCTGTCCCCCCTGACCTCTGAGCCCCCCAGCTCTGGGGACACAGGCTCTTCCCAGCCCAGAGGCAGCCTGAGGCTCTTTCAGGGCTGGAGCCAGGCTGGGGTAGGTGCTGCTTGGCGCTGGGTGACACAAGAGCCTAGCCCTAGCCCCCATCCCCATCCTGCTCCAGCAGCAAGCAGGGAGGAGGAGGGCAGTACAGAGAGGCAGAAAGACACCCACACCAAGAAACGGGGCTCCAAATCAGCGGGAAGAACACCCCCACCTGCGGGAACCTCCTGGGCCCTAGCTCCATAGCAGTTTGGGGCCTGACATCACATTGGCCATTGATACTGGGTGTGTGGCGTGCCCTCCGCCCACCC